ATCCTGATCAGACTGCGCGGATGCGCAGGCTGGTCTAGATCCATGTTGGTTGCAAACGCACTATGTTGGTTTTGTCATGATGCGGCTCAACTATATCAACCTTAACAGTGGTGATTTTCACTGAATTGCAATCACAAGTTCACAACAAACTCTTAACTTATACACTTGATTTGAAAAGATCTTTAGTACAAACTTCCTGTTCTATATTAATCTATTTCCTCAGTATCTGAAATGTTTCTTTCCGGTTAATATTTGGATCCAGAGTTGTGTCCCTTTGTACTGACAGATCAATAGTAGTAACAGTCATATCCTAACCCCAGAGTTAAGATTTAATTTCATGTAGAACCCAGATTATTAGTAATACACATTGCATCTAAAACTTCAAATTCAAAACTTGCATTCCAATCCAGTACTAAAAACATTGGATCCAGATTGAGTACAATGAACATTGAAAAAAAAATTGGGGGGTTTGGGTTTTACATTGCACAAATACAGAGGTCACATGGTCAGACTACAATACAAATCACAGGTACCCGGCCTATGTGTATTATTTCAGGCACAGGAGTAGAACCACCAACTCACCAAGTTAACCATAAACACTCCACCACGAAAAAATACCCAATGATTCAAACACCAATCACTTTAGTAAAAGATCATTCTAGAATTTAGGTACATACCTTAATTCATAAAACATTACATTATACTACATGAATATAGAGGCAGCCATGAATCATTGCCTAATGTCAAATTTCTGTAAACAGTACCAATGGTGTTTGGCACGTTTATTGGCCACTACCATCTCTAATATCCCCAACATTTCCTAAACAATCTAAACTGCAGTGTTTTTCATGTAACCGGCATTTATATAGTATATATATATATACATATATGATTGTGATAACATTTTTTTCATTTAAAAAAAAATGCATACTACATATACCTATGTATACATTATATTTATTTTTATATATAATCTTATATATAATATTCATATGCATGTTATTTGCAAGTGAACTTAGTTAAGGAAAGTTTAGATAGTTTAGGAAAAGGTTGAAGATAATTGGGGGGGGGGGGGGGGGGGGTTGTGACCAATCAACGTGCGGAACACTTCTCTTTATCCTGAATACAAAGTTAAAGGCCCAACTGGACTATAAAAGCCAGCAGATGGCGCTAGGGCAGGTTTCTTATTAATTTTATGCATGCTTCACTTCAGGGACCCTTTTTCAAAGATTTAAGATTAATTACCAAATGCATTAAAATAACACTTGGCATGTTTGTAGGCATAGATATTTTTGATAAAGATTGACCAAAATTATTCAAAATATAACTTTGTAAAGTGTATTTCTGGAAAAAAATACTGGCTGTCAAATTTGAAATTTGAATTTCCCTGGGAGGAGCCATGTGATCATTACAGGTCATGAACCTTCAGTAGTAAACAGAAGCACGTGGCAGTGTTTAGATTTGTAGCAGACGATGAGGGAGATTTTCAGCAGACGACACATTTCAATGCTGAATAAAACAATAACTTTTACTGACTTGCTTTATCAAATCCAACAAATTTACAATAATCCATTAATCTATGATTTTTCTTTTAAATTTCAAAGTACTGATTTAACTTGTATTTGAATGGTTTAAACTTCATGAAAACAGTAAAAGTAACTTCCAGGTATATTTCATTTACACTATATTTTGTTGTAAATATCTTGTAGTCAAAAATTACATTTCACAAATGTTAATCAAACTGAATGTTGCATATGCATAAAATTTTATACATTAACAGTTTAAAAATATTTTAAATTCCTGTCAAAAACATTTTTAGCAGGTTGTTCCTAAAAGAAATGCCCCATGTATTAGGCACATCTTTTGGATTTTGATATAATTGTCTGACTTGATGAAAGACACATACAGCATTCCAGTGAAAAAAATAAAAACAACTGACTTCAAAAATAATATCTGGACAAGATGACTTGATAATGTCTTTAATTAATCTTTGAGTTATATAAAACATCCCTTAAACCTCTCCTGTGTAAAATCAGCTGTTTTTGTTTACATTCTCTCTGCAGGTTAACACTGCATGCTATTTATAGTTCAGGGTTTATAACAGACAGTTTTACATCACTGATTAGTCACACCCACAAATACTCGCTGCCGCGGCAGCGAATGTTGCCCCTTTAAAGGTATAAAGCTATTAATATCTGATGCAATATTTTCATAAATTAGAAAAATAAAACAGTAAATATGTTATTAGTTGATGCTCAAAAGACTTATAATGTAGAATGTTTCTGTTATTTAACACACATGATTACTTTATGAAAACAGAATAAAATGTTAGGAACAAAAATTTTTTCTGCAGTTTTATGGAGGGTTTTAACTGTTTAACCATGACTGGGTGCATGCTACATTCATTCTTAAGGAAATTTACCAACATATGAGCCGCCTCACGACAAAACCAACATAATGAGTTTGCGACCAGCATGGATCCAGAGCAGCCTAGTCTGATCAGGATCCATGCTGTTGGCTTACCAACTCTATTACAAGTTGAGAAACTGACAGCGAACAGCATGGATCCTGATCAGACTGCGCGGATGCACAGGCTGGTCTGGATCCATGCTGTGACTCGCCAACTGAAAAAATAAAAATTTCCCAAAAATTTTGACTTTTTAAAATTTTGGGGGATTAAACCAAAAGATAATACTGGTAAAGGGTTTAGGAAAAAACCCAAATAAAAACTGCCCCGAATATAAAAAATATTTTGTTTTGGCAATTTTTTATTAAAAAAGGGTTAAAAAATACGGGTTAATTTAAAATGTATTTTTTTAAAGGGTTTTTCCTTAGGCCATGTGGTTTTTTATTTACCCTTTTCTTTGCAAAGAAATTAAAAAATTTAAAAAAAGGAAATTGGGGCCCAAATTTTAAACTTTTTTTGATTTTTTTCCGGGCAAAAAACTGGTTATACCCCTTTTTGTTTGGGGCATAAAAAAAAATTTAGGGAGAAAATTAAAATATGAACACAAAAAAATTTTGGCAAAAAAAACCCAAGGGGAGTTAATTTTAAGAAAATTGACCTGTGAAAATTATACTAATTTTTATACTTTTAAAATTATATTAACCCAATTACCCCTTCATTAATAAGTGGCCCATTTTTTGAACTCCGAAAATTGAGTTTCACAAAGAAATAAAGAGTTTTCATACAAGTTGCAAAAAATCCCAATGTTGCTATATTTAGAATTTTTACTAATTTAAAAACATACTTCAAAAAAAGAACTTTCCCAAATATGTTTTTGTAAAACCCAGATGTACAAGTAAAATTGGGGAGCCAAAAGGAAAACCAAAATTGATAAAAAAACCCCTTTAATAAGGGGGGAAATTTTTAAAAACCCTTTAAAATTATTTTTAATCAATTTTAAAATCTTTTGAGGTAAAAGTATCCATAAAAAATTCCAATTTAAATTTTCCATATAACCCCCCATATCCCTTTATTTTTCCCAAATAAAACCTGAAAATTTCCCTTTATATAACAACATGTGATATACAACATCACTTATTTTCCATATAACCTGTCATATCCCTTTATATAACACATGTGATATACAACATCACTTATTTTCCATATAACCTGTCATATCCCTTTATATAACACATGTGTAATACAACATCACTTATTTTCCATATAACCTGTCATATCCCTTTATATAACACATGTGACATACATCATCACTTATTTTCCATATAAACATTTCTAGATATAACACATGTGTAATGTAACGTCACATAAAAAACATCTCAACAAGTTTATGTTGAATGATTTTAGTCATGTGATTAAAACAATCTTACATTTTTGTTGATGTATAATAAAGAATTTCATTGAACAAGTTCAAGGAATAATCAAGAAAAAGCTCCAAGAAAATGTTTTTAAAGATTAAAAGAAGCCTGTTTTAAAAAAACAACATCTTAAAAACGGGAAAAATAAAATCGTTTGAAGGTAAACATAGGATCCAAATAAATACTTAATAAATATTTTTAAATAAACCAAGTTAAGGCTGTGTTTAAAAATTTTTTTAAAAGTAAAAATTTAGTAAATAACAAAAATAAAAAAATTCTTAAAAATTTCGGGGGCCTTTGCTTTGAATTTAAAATTTCCCTATTTAAAAAAGAAGGCAATATTTTCATTAAAGTATTAAATTGGGACAGAAAAGAAAGGGCCGGGCCCAAGAAATTGCCCATTTTAGTGCAGAAACGGGTTTTAAAGTCCAAAATTTAAATAAGTTTAAGCCATTAATCCCACTAAGTCCTCTTTTTTCTTTTTCCTCTGAAAGCCCCAAAAATGGCCCCCCAAAAAGTTTTAACCAATGCAAGACTCATTTTTCAAAAAATTTACACAAAAAATAAAAAAGCCTTTTTAAAACACAAAAAGGTAAAATTCTTTAATCAAAATAAAAGGCCCCAAAAGTTTTTCATTTTTTAAAATAAATTTAAAAAAATCAGCCTTTTTTTTAAAACATTCAATTGGAAACAAAAATAAAGGGCAAAAGATTTAACCAGCATTTTTTTTCCCCAAAAATTTTTAAAAACTTTTAGGTAAAGAAAAAACCAAAATTTTTTTTAAAAAGGGAGGGAATTGTAGAAATTAAAATTAAATAACTGTTTCCAAAACCTGTTTTGGACAAGTTAATTAAAACCCACCTTAAAAAATGATAAAACAGTAAACCCCACTTATGGAAAATTAAAAAATTCACTTAAAAAAACGTTCCTGTTCCCACTTTTCCCATCTCTGGTTTCAAAAAAAGTTTTTTTGTAAAAATATAACAATATCCATAATTTGGCAGTCTCGTATATATTGTTTATCAGCAGAGTTTACTGTAAAAATATCATCAAATCATGCTTAATATAACACAGTATTTGTTAAACGTTTTGTATTCTATCCCAAAATATATTTCTGACTAGTGCGATGTTTGAATATAGAACATTGTACACTACTACTGACTCTGTTGTTGTTCACTTCATTGCCATCTGTAGTCACAGGCTTCATCTAGAAGTTTAACGATTAAACATTCCTTCGTGTTCAAACGATTTCCATTTTTCTATTAAGAAGGAAAACAAAATATGAGAACGAAATCTGTCAACTGATGTAAAAAATATCTGTTTGTATATAGTATAATAAGATAATTTCCATCAAAATAATAATATATTCAGCTGTGTATAAGATCACTTTCCGCCCAAAACTTTTTAAAAAAATGTCCAAAATACACATTTGAAAAAAGTTTTTAATTCCCAAACTTTGGGAAACGGGCCCCATTTTATAAAAAATTTAATTAAATAGTGCCCCTCCCAAAGAAGTCCTTTTTCCCCTTTTCTAAAACCAACATGTACAGCCGATTCAAAAACTTGACTGGTTCGAAAAATTTTGTACAGAAAAGTTTTGTTTTCAACATTCCTTTTTTCCCTCTTTCTATTTTCCTCCCTTTCCCGAATTTTCTGAAAGGAAAAATTTAAATAATAGTTTCCCAGTTTTTCTCAAAATTGAAAAAGGGGAAATTGTCAAAAAAACCCAGAATTTTTTAAAGCAATCATGGGGCCAATTTAAAACTTTAAACACCTGATTGTAAAATATTTTGTGCTTTCCAATTCACTGAATTCAAACAAGAGAAGTATCATAAGCTTCAGGCCAGCACAAACCAGGTTAAGATGAAAATAATAACTGTCACATGACAATTAATATAACATGTACTGTATCCCTTGAAATTTTCACCCATACAATATTTTCCATGGAGTTTTTGCTGAGAAAAACTTAACCAAAATAAAAATTAATTGCAAATTTTGTAAATATTTTGTCACTGTGGTAAAAACATTACACATTACTTAGTTTATACAAATATATTTAGTTTGATTGTGTTGAAAGCATGACACATTGTCTTTTAATGTCACTATTTGTGCCAAGTATTTTCAAAATCCTTTGATCTATGAAAAAGTTATGGATTGGACACAAAATATACCCTATAACAGACTATGTTAATCTTTGACCTCCAAGTGTGACCTTGAACTTGAAGGTAGGTGACCAGTTGTTGCGCATGACACATCGTCTCATTATTGTGAACCATTTTGGCAAGTATTTACAAAATCCCTTCAAATATAAGAAAGTTATGGACCGGACACGACATACACCCTCAAATAGACAATGCTGAATATCAGATATTATAATACCTCTGCATCATCCGGGAACAGTTCACAAAATATTTTGTCTTTTAAGTTGAAAGCGTTACTCTGTGCAGCTAGCTGTCTTTTCTGAAATACAAATACATGTATAATTGTTTATATAACATTATAATTTTGTATTAAATTTGAAGGAATATTATATGTACATGTACAATTATAATTTACACTGGTTCCCGCATCATCAGATAGCAGAATAAATTGGCCATACATTCTCTTTCCTACTGTTTCCATAGTACTTCAGTGTAAGAAATTAGGATTTGAATCAACTAGGCTGGTCGAACTACCAGATTGGAATATACACTAGCCAAAAAGACATTTCACTAGCATGATTCATTTGTTCAAAAAAGTTGTTTATATTGCCTCTGAAAATACAGTAGCCTGGTCGGGCTTGTTACTGTGAAAAGTTGGTAGCCCGAGGAGAAATTTAGTAGTCTTGGGCTATAGGACTACTGCCAATTTTGAAAATTGGTACTTAAACCAAGTCCATGCATTTTCTAAAAAAAAAAATTATTATTTTTTATCAAAACCAAATGGGTAGAAATCAACAAAAAGCCTTCAGCTGAGGGATCAACTGTTGGGCAGTTTTTATGTCGCACTAACACAGTACAGGTCATATGGTGGCTCCCCAGCTTTACTGGTGGAGGAAGACCTCGGGTCCCCCTCCGTGTATTCTTTCTGGCACAAACAAGTACCTGAGCAGAACCACCCACGTTTCTTAACCTAGCTGGATAGTTTCCTCATGTGAAAGAATCTAACATCCCTGGTGAGATTCAAACCCAAAGCAGTGACAGGCAAGTGGTGAAGTCGATGACCTTAACCACAGTCGGCCCTACATGTATTGACATTGATGTAACTTTTTGATGGCCTCCTGCAGGGTTGAGATTTTATGAGATTTGTTGTCAAGTCCCTCAAGTTAAAAAACCACTGGTGCACGGCATCAACAACAAGTGTAGGTTTCAATCATGTAAATGTAGATATTTTTCAGCACACTGATTTTATAAGCTTTAAAACTTACATGAATTCAATAATTACTTTTACATGTATATAAGCCAGTTCGTTTTTGTTGATTTAAAACAATTAACGGTATGTATGTTAATCCACTGCAATGTTTAGACTAATGCAATGTTTAGATTATTCATTCAATATGTTGTGCTTATTTTCAAAACTGTAACTGAGAAAGTTTGTTTATATCCCCCCCCCCCCCGATTTCATTGTTGATTTTTAGACAATTTATTTTACTTATCAGTCCCCACAATTAAGTATCAGGATCAGATTCAAAAACTCAAATTTTTGCCATTGTTTATTCTCATAGATTAAATATTTAATATCCACTTGATAAAATTGTTCTTGAAATATCATGTTTACAAAATTTTAGAAAAAAATCATTGTTATTTAAAAAGATATGTACATTTCTGTATTTGTTTTGTTATTCAGCCAGTGGGTTGTTTCTGTGCCAATCAGCAATGTTTTAGATTTTGTTTATCTACCACTTAATGTTTTGAAAATACGACCATATTTTTATATTAAACAATGAAAATAAAATCAGGATCATTTCACCCAGATCCTGATCTTTTGTTAGTGAACACGGGGCCTGCAGTCATGTCAGGCAAAACGTGTAGCAGTTGTTAAACTGCTGGAATCTAAAGTGATCATCCAACAAGAATATAGCCTGGCCAGCCTACACACCATTCTGTACAGTAAGCTCTGACTCTGTACTTAAACTTAAACCTTTCATCTTGAAATCCCATAAACCAATAATGGGCAGTTTCCTACAGTTTCAGAAATGGAAAGCTGGGCAAGTCCATTTCAGAAATTTAGGAGGTAAAGGGTTATTAGATAAGTTGTAAACAAGCACTATACATACAGTATAATCTGAAGTCTCCAGACTGCCAAGTGTTGGTGTCTTCTCTAACTGTAATACATAAATATACATACATCATTCATTCTAACATGAAGCCCTTATGCAATTTAAGGCATGTAAAAATCTCTTGACTTAAAAAATCAAGTGATTAGTGGTCAAAATGTGGCTATATTGGACATGACTTTGCCATATGATGCCTGTACACTGTTAAAATAAATGATTTGTGCAAAAAAAGAGAAAAAAGAAATATAATAACACAATATTTTCTTTTAAATTAATGTGAAATAGATCTCCTGCATGTAACAAGGGAGAAAACTCAACTGAGAAAATTAGTACCAATTGTGTATGTGCTTGATCCACACAGATATATCTTGCTTTTAAAACTTAATTTGTATTTTTCTATTTCTAGTTAAACTTTTTTTTATATATTTTCATTCTATATTGACAATAACCTCTTGTCTTAAGGACCCTGATATTACAATTAAAACAACTAATAGACATGGTATCTATGTTGATGTAATAATGGTATATTTATATATATATATTTTTTAATATTTTTTACCTCACAAGAAACTTTTTAAAACTTTATAGGCAATTGATTACCCCATAAGTATAAGATTTTTACACTTTATAGGCAATTGATTACCCCGTAAGTATAAGATTTTTACACTTTATAGGCAATTGATTACCCCATAAGTATAAGATTTTTACACTTTATAGGCAATTGATTACCCCGTAAGTATAAGATTTTTACACTTTATAGGCAATTGATTACCCCGTAAGTATAAGATTTTTACACTTTATAGGCAATTGATTACCCTGTAAGTATAAGATTTTAACACTTTATAGGCAATTGATTACCCCATAAGTACAACAATTTTACACTCTATAGGAAATTGATTACCCTATAAGTACAGTTGGTACAGAATGAACCTCACAATGATGACGTGTACATCTACACTCACACTTTAATGGCAATTGAGATCAAACATAAAAACTTACCATAAAACTCAGCATTCCTGTGAGAATTGTTGATACAGACCATGCTGGGTTCCATGTATCAGGGTGGAAATCACTTATACTCAAACACAGTCTACAAAATAAAGGCATAACTATATACTAAACAACATGGAGAAACCAGAAATAAATATTGACATTTATAACTTAATTTCCTGATCTGTTTTGATAAAACTACATGAAATTAAAATTATAATTCCAATGCATCTTGACTGTATTGTTATACACATAGAATTTCATCATTCACAGTACAGTGAAATTTGAGAAAACCGGACGCTGAGAAAATCGGAACTCTCTAAACACCGGACGAATAATTCAGTCCCAAATGTTCCCTTCTTTAAACTATTGTATTAAACATTGACAATACCGGAATCTGTAAAAACCGAATATCGGACGGTTGATAGGGGACTACAAAGTCAATTATATAGACAATTACCCTGACAATACCGGACAACGAAGGTGTGAATAACCTTATGTAGGTGTCTAATACGCTAACTGTGGGGTAGCGGACCAACGATTGTCTGATTTGTTTAATTATGTCTCATTTCACAGTTTGAATTATTTTAAGGTATAGATGTTACCTTTTACATAAATGCCAAAATGCACGAGGCATTGATAAGTTAAAATCAGTTGACGAGAACTGTCTATAATTGACAAATTTAAATTAATTAAAGACAGTGAAACTTTGCCAAGACCTACTTTAAAAATCTTTATCTGACAAATATGTTATAGGCAATATTTACAATTGGGGCATTATTATAAACAAACTAGGTAAAGTACATGTATGTTTGTTAAATCATTATCCATTACCCAAATGTAAACATATGCGGGTGTAATCGGACTTTATCGTTATGCAGTAACTGCTGTTCGTTTAAATCCAAAATTTTATTGTATTTATATGCAATAATTGGGACAAACGCAATTAAACCATATTGTATAGTATTTTATCATTTCTTTATTTAGCAATATACTTACTCATAATCATGAAAATGCAAAAATACGTTCAGCATCCTTTGTAAGTCATTGCTCGGTTTATATGATCCTGAACAGCTGAAGGGGACATTGAGAATACTGGACCGCTGGGAAAACCGGACAAAATCCTCGGTCCGAGAGCCGTCCGGTTTTCTCAACTTTCACAGTATATTGTTTTTATATTAACTTACCGTATCTCAATATTTTTGTGTAAATTTTTAAGATTTTGAATTTACTAGCCCGAATTCCAGTTTTGAATTTATTCTACTATATATTTGACTAAATTTTCCTAAAATTTTCTCTGGCGCGAACTAATTTTCACTGGCCATGGGCATCTGGGCCAGTGCTTAATTTAATGACTGAATTTTTGGTTTGTTTTGTTTGGTTTAACTTACACTAACATGCTAATGGTCATATGGCGACTTTACAACACTGCCTGGTGGAGGACATGTGCCCCAATGTACTATGCAAGCACCCGAGTACAACAAACAACCTTTCTTAAGCAAGCTGGATAGCTTTCTCACATTAAAAAATCCAAAGTCTCTGATAAGATTCGAACCAACAGTGGCGAGGGACAAGTTGTTTCAGTCTGACTCAGCCATATTAGCATCTACTTTTTATGGAAAATTTTACCAAACCAGATTTTTGTATACAAATAATATTTTGTTCTGCTCTGTTCATATAACACATTTTTTTCATTTTTGATATTGTATGTCAAATTTGTAAACAAAACAAATCTTTTTATGAGGTAAGATATTACATTGCTACAAATAGTATGGCTATATGAAATGTGCCCTTAATTTCTATTACTGTAAATGCCCAATATAAAACATAGTAATGGTTAAAAGAATACAAAGTGAAAAATGGATGTCAATAACTAAATTTATCACATAAACCGCGGCACATGAGTGTAATAAAGCCATTTAATAAAATGGTATTACATTAGACGATATAACACTAGTGTAATAACACTTTGACGTGACGTCATTTGCGCTATAAACATACCATTAAAGTGCGCTAATGTTAGGGTTACACTATAGGTGCATCAAAGAAAAAAGACTTTTGTTAACAGTTTACCGTTCTTATTTTATATATGTGGTAAATAGAATATTTTATTCGTGTAGATTCAATACTAAATGTATTTAACTCGTTGAATAAAACAAAATTATGTTTGCCAGAGGCTCGCATAATATGATTTTATTCAACTTGTTCAATAAATTTAGTATTAGGCCTACACTCATTCAATATCCTCTATAACATCAATTATAATCATCTGTGAGTGCTTTATAACATACCTTGTATTTAGTTTAAACCTTCCATTTGGTGTAATCATATATATACTTGGAGGTTTAAAGGGAAATTCACGAGGAAACACAAGTTTTCCATGATATGTTCCTCCTGAAAAATATGTGTGAAGTTTAAGTTAACACAGCTTTACTGAATAGCAAGATAATAACAAATTCCTTGTCAATTTTGACCATGACATGGCCAAAAAAATGTTGGAAATCATAATACAATTTATAGATATGCTATTCATAGTTTGCAGTATCCACTTACAGTTATACTTTACTGCTTGGTACAGCGAAACATCACACATCTATGAGCAGTTCTTTTAATTATTAAGTTTTAAAAAATGTGCGTGAGAATTAACTTGTTGCAAATGCTTCTTTTAATGACTTAATTTTTAGAGTTACCACATATGGGTGCTTCCTACTATTACATTGACAAAGCTAAAACATTCCCTGACTTACATGTAGCTTAATGCACATTGTCTATCTTTTATCTCAAGTGACCATAAATCTTTATGTAACATGATCGCTTCAAGTAAACAAATGAACCGTGTCACGACAAAACCAACATAGTTTGCGACCAGCATGGATCCAGACCAGCCTGCACGGATGCGCTCAAATATCTTTTATTATTAGAACCATAAAAGTATGAAAAGTTTATTATAATATATATGCAAAAAAAACATTACATACCTTCATATGGAGAATTTTCTGGCCCGACAACAAGATAGTGCCTACAAGGGAAAGTACACAATATGTTAACACTACATATACTGATATAAATTATCAATGTTTGAAAATACAGTCAACACTTTAGATTGTCACATTTGTGTGAGGATTTATGTATTCATGTTAAAGGGACTCCACTGAGTTTTTTTTATGTGAAGGGACGGAAAATATTGTTTCAAGATTTTTGTATAACTAGATGTATGTCTAGACCAATAACTCATCTACAAAATTTCAGATCATTTGCTTACTCCATTTCCCAGAAATAATCAATTTTATTGTGCAAATTGGCCTAATTAATGAAAACCGTTTAAACGATTTTCACTCATATCGGCCAAAATTCGCATAAAAATTGATTATAAATTTGTTAGCGTGTATATTTATATATCATCTATTGTTTGGTTTCAAATTCAAATGTACCAATTGATTTAAGAAAGAATTTCAAAATGTATTATTTTAGGCTATTGGACCTCAGTGGAGTTCCTTTAAGATATGATGATGATTCCATGTGTTGTTTTTGTTTGTTTGGGTTTTTTTGCGGGAGGTGGCGGTTTCATGCTTTTTTTAAATGCTTTTCTTAAAAATTATGGCTGTCTAGTGTCACTTATAACATTCAAGATATATAAATGATCTTTTTGAGAATTGAGTATTTGTAAATTGAAACAAACTTTTCAAGTTAGTAATGTATGACACTATTGTCAAGTTAGTATGACAGTGTTGTTGTATGTACTCAAAGTGCCAATAATTGATAAGAGCACAATCTTTATTAATAATGATCACACTGTTTACCTCACACTGATACCAAAATATAATCACTTAGCTCAAAGTTTAATTTTTTTCCCATGGCCCGTACTTTGTACATAATGGTCCATGTACAAAATGCAGGGTTGTCATTAACATTTTTTGCAGAAGGTTTGTTTTGAACTTGAGGCGGTCATTTCTGTCTTTATCATGCAAAACAAAGAGTGTTTTCTTAATTTTGAGGCGGCCCATATTGCATTTGAGACAGGTATTTTGGCCTCCTGCCGCCTCTTAATGACAACCCTGAAAATGGTCCACCATTTTCAGACCAAGTAGGCCCAGGGCCAAGTACTTTCAAATTCTCAGCAAATCTCATGGTACATGTAGCCAATAATAGCTTTATAAACTGTAAAGTGTGTTTACCATTCTAGTATATTTGATGGTAGAGGCGCCGCTTTCACATAAGGTACTGGATCTTTCATAATTCTCATGTAATCTTGTCGCAACCTTGCTGTCGCTGTTGTGTTGACACGTTTTGAAGATGACATCTAGAGAAAAAAAAACAGTCACCAAATTAAGTTGACAAATAACAAGAACTGTCGGAGGACAGTAACGCTAGACTATTCAAAAGTTGTCACAAGGGTGTTTCATCAAGTATAATAATGCTTACCTATATGAATACATAAAATTGTCCGAAAAGGTACAAAGGCTTTTATTAAGATGTTTTATCAAGTAAATCACTGCTTAATCATTATGAATGCATGAAATTGTCCCAAAAAAGGCACAAACCCTTCAGTAGTTATGGAGATACCAGCTTACAAGCAAAACCTTTAACAAGAATTTCTAAGCCGAAAAAAGGGGCATAATCATGTAAGATAATCACAGAGAACAAGTGAGTGAAGTTTCAAACCTTTCCCTTCCGTAGTTATGGAGATACCAGCTTACACGCAAAAACTTAACCAAGGATTTCTAAGTCAATAAAGGGGCATAATTATGCAAAAAAGCAAATCACAGTTATAGGACTTGTGCCAATCATATTAGATAATCACAGAGAACAAGTATGTGAAGTTTCAATTCTTTCCCTTCAGTAGTTATGGAGATACCAGCTTACACGCAAAAACTTAACCAAGAATTTCTAAGTTGAAAAAGGGGCATAATTATGCAAAAAAGCAAATCAGAGTTACAAAATGTAGTCAGATTAGCTCCCCACCTAATGTTGTCTTTTTTACATTTGTACTAAAAATGTGTAAACCGAATGTGACGTATGTTACTATAAATAGACATATAAATGAGTTTATCTGGGCTAAGTGCCAAGTTTTTCTAGGCAATCATATGCCCCTGTTGATCTATGTAAGACTTTAAAATTATGTTTTAGGCTCTGTTCTGTTCAACTTAAGTTTAGGCTGCTAACTAGCTTAAGATCTTCAGAGTACATGTTTAAACGGTTTATATATTATAACATGATGTGATCGCTGAACACAAACCCGTAGGGAAAGTCCACCAATAATCGTGCCAGGAATATGACATGCTCGTATTCATTCAACAAACATGCCATGGAGTAAAGTGAAGTATGCCTTGATAAAACTATGTATAATACATGTATGTTGATAAGCCAAAGATGGACACATAAAAAAAACTTAGTTATTATGAACATTATATTTATAAACAACCTAATAGTTTCCACCAGGTAAAAAATTCAGCACTTGGCCGCCATATTACCAAAATGTTTGACCACGTGATAACGAAATTGACTTTTTTGTGTTAATTTGCGTGGACGGTTATGAATACAGGACCCATGGATGTGCTTCCAACATTTTTATAAATTACTTTTTTAAACATATTGAAAAAGATGATTTACTGAGTTTTGTATTCAATATTATTTTATCTTAATACTGCAAAATCAAAGAAAATAAATAAAAACATTATCTTCACTTGAATTATAAATACTGAAATCATTTCAACAAAAATGTTCTTAATATAACTCTAAGTTAGTAAGTACTCTAATCAGTTCCCACGAATTACGTCATTGACCTTTTCGAAAACCTAGCTAAACACCGTTTTCCGGTATGTTACGGATTAAGCTCTAGTACTAAAGTATTTTTTTTCTAGAAATACTTTTTTACACTATCCCAACACTGTGCCGGGTCCCTTTGGGTCTCCCGTAGCTCCTAAATGTCAACTTCAAGGCCGACTGTAGTCAGTGTAATTGATGTTTTACAGTTAAATAGGCAATTTTAATGATTGTATCGATATTTTGATACCTTTAATGGTATAGTCTATAGAACGATATAAAAACTAGAAATGTGTCCATAGGACACGGGTGCCCCCACCGCACCACTGTTCTGTCAATCTTTTTACTAAGTCAAGGGAAATAACTCTACAAATACTGGATAAATCCACAAGCCAAACCCCAGGTGCAAATCTAAAATATGCTGTTCAACCTGCCCATAAGGTTTATTGACTTAGTATGTCAAATCCTTTTTGAGAAACTTGCGACACAAGTTGAAAATTGCAAAAATTTTCTACGTGAAGGGCAATAACTCGACGAAAATGCCTGGTGCACAACTGCACATGCTGATCAATATTCCTGTAAAGTTACATGACTCTAGGTCAAATACTTTTTGAGTTATGTGCGACACATGTTGAAAATTGCCAAATTTTACTAAGTCAAGGGCAATAACTCTGAAAATACTAAAAATATCCAGATGAAAATACCCAGGTGCACAACTACACATGCTGATCAACATTCCTGTAAAGTTTCATGACTCTAGGTCAAATACTTTTTGAGTTATGTGCGACACAAGTTAAAAATTGCCAAATTTTACTAAGTCAAGGGCAATTACTCTAAAAATACTAAAAATATGCACACGAAAATACCCAGGTGCACAACTACACATGCTGATCAACATTCCTGTAAAGTTTCATGACTCTAGGTCAAATACTTTTTGAGTTACATGCGACACAAGTTGAAAATTGCAAAATTTTACTAAGTCAAGGGCATTAACTCTGAAAATACTAAAAATATCCAGACGAAAATACCCAGGTGCACAACTACACATGCTGATCAACATTCCTGTAAAGTTTCATGACTCTAGGTCAAATACTTTTTGAGTTACGTGCGACACAAAAGTGAACGGACGGACGGACGGAAGGACGGACGGACGGACAGACGGACGGAAGGACGGACGGACAAGGGTAAATCTAAATGCCCGCCACTAACGTGGGGGCACAATAATTGTTTTATTGCAAAATTCACAAGAATTAATTGGAACACGGGTATTTGCAAATGAAAAATAAGGTTAAATCAAGGTATGTTATTCTGGTAACGTTTCGTAACGGTCTAATCCAAAGCTTTAATGCCGCATCGGATGAAAAACAAAAATGATAAAACGGCTTATAAACAGGTCTAGGATTAATGATATTTATGGACTGTCCGTAAATTTATAGACAGTCTAGAAATTTAAAGATTTTTCAATCCATAAATTTACAGATATTCAATGTGAAATTTGCAGTTTTTAGTTTTACAATAAAATCCGCAGCTAAAGACAAGTTGTTTTATTGATTGTTTATATTTACAAAGGTAATTGGGTGAGTTTCATCTTTGTATGATGATTTTGAAATTTTTGTTAAAAGTGAAAATTGAAAGTCATCAAACTGTTCTGAATTTTAGCAAACTGTTACAACTTACATTTGATCATATAATACCTAACCTTGTTCAGTTTAACCTGCAGTTTTAAATTTCAATACCTTGTGATACCTTGTGATGTTTGGGAAACTTTATTAGTCCCCTAACTGACTATCATGCAACTTCTACTATTTTCTTACTTAATGTCTGTAAATTTACAGATAAGAAAATCTGTAAAATTATGGATTGTCCAAAAATTTACAGACTGTCCGTAAACTAGAGAAATTCAAGAAAGAGCATTAAGATTCATTTATGATGACTATCAATCAGACTATGACTCACTTTTAATAAAATCTAAACTACCAAATTTAAAATTAAGACGAATCAGAACTATAGCTCTCGAAATTCATAAAATTATTCATAAACAAGGACCAACATACTTACATGATCTTGTTAATATAAAATCTCATTCTTTTAATTTTAGGTATAAAAATGTAGCCATTATCCCTCAGGTAAGAACCACCAGTTATGGCAGCAACTCTTTTCGTTCCTATGCACCTAAACTATGGAATTCACTTCCTCAACACCTCAGAATGGAAGTGAATTATGACCAATTTAAAAGTCTAATTGGTGCATGGAATGGAGAGAGTTGCTCATGTACTTTCTGTCAATAAACCTGCATTATTATAATTTATAGTTTAGCTCCATCATCAGTTTTGTTTCTTGCCTGCTTTCTTTTGTTTTGCTGCTTACTTACATGTATCTGTTTATTTCACATTTGGCTTAAATTTTGTTAATATTCTCAACATAAATGATTATGTACATGTATTATTTTTCCAGTATGCTTGAATTTTTGTTGCTTATTGTCAGCTTTTTGCGAAGTTTGCTTATTGAGGAGGCTGCTGATCACTTCTTGCAAATTTTGAATTGGGGATTTTTATTTATAAAACCTAATTAGTGGTAACAGTTTTGTGATCCTTTTCATTTTCAATATCGTATTTCCTTTCTTTTATAGCAGTCCAGGCTAGGCCTGGGTCAAGATCAGCAGTATCCACCCACTTTTAATGTAATCTTATTTTATGTATGTGCTAATATGTTCCGCATTTTATCTAGATATATATTATTTTATTCACTTATGATACAGTATAGAACTTTTAAGCATATCCTTAGCATATCATTACTATTTATTAATTATTATTATTTTATTTTAAATTATAACATTTAGTGTCTACATCCCATATTATAGTAATTTAACTTATCTTTTACCATTTGTCTTTCAAAGTTTAATGGAAGTGGCTAGCCGTACGGGCCCGTACGGCTAGCCAAAAGTTCTAGCCGTACGTGAGTCACGTACGACTAGCCAGGACACACTGTATTGGCTAGCCGTACGGCACTTTTAAAAATTATATGGAAGTCGAAAATGCATATGTTATTTTGTGTCTTTAAACTAGGATTTTAATCAAATCTCGCATTTGTCCTAGTGTATTCACTTTAATAAAGATGCTCCGCCATTTTGTAAAAAAATGAATACGAACAAGCCTTTTATAATCTATTTTGATAAAAGTGTCAACGTTGCATGTTATTAGTTATAAGGTACATGATTTTCATGCTTATGATTTGTTGTTTTATTTGTATGAAAGATGAATTGTTAAATCATTTTTGTTAATTAAGCACATGGATCGAATAAATAATGATCGGAGGGAAAGAAGGAAAGAAAGAAATAAATAAAAAGAATACTGAAAAAAAAAACGACGAAAAGCAAAAATAATTTAATAATTTTCAAATACAGTAGATAAATATCGAACATAAAAGCACAATCAATTAATTAGCCTTAATTAAAGCCTACCTAGGGACTGACAATAGAATTTTAGAATGCGTTTCACGGAACATGCAAACTTTCCTTAATGATGGAAAAATTTCTATACCGTCGGTAATTGACGCAATTATCAGAGCCCAACAACAATTATTTTCGGTGTTTTTTTTTTTCAATTTGAAAATTAAACATAATGAGACAAAAAAGGATTATTATCAAAATTTTGTAAACTATTTCAATTGATGTTATTTTAAATCTGCAACCAAAAGCTATTTTTCTCGACGTCTTGAGATGACAAAAATATATATTCGTACTTTCTTTACTGTAGCCAACAAGGCGATTAATCTCTTAAAAAGTAAACATACGAAGACAATTGCTGTTTCTTGGTTAAAATCCTCGCTTAAATTCATAAAAAAACATATGCATTTTCGGCTTCCATATAATTTTTAAAAGTGACGTACGGCTAGCTAAAACAGTGTGTCCTGGCTAGTCGTGACGTGACTCACGTACGGCTAGAACTTTTGGCTAGCCGTACAGGCCCGTATGGCTAGCCACTTCCAAGTTTAATATCTTAATGTGCTTCTTTTATGAGTTTTATGTTTATATCATTATGCATGTATGTCAGTCAAAAGCTATACATAGCTTATGTTTTGTAAAATGTTATATATGTATACCGACAATAAATAAATTTTGATATGATTTGATAATGAAACTCTAGACCTGTAGGCTGATAAAGTTTTGGAAGCCAGACATGCCAGAACTCAAATGGTTAACAGGTTAACAAACGTTAATAACTAGCCAGATTGTATGACAAAACTTATGTAAATATAAAGAATTTAATTAAAACAAAGGTGATTAAATAGAAATACCTTCAATCAATTGTTTTAGTAGTGGATAAAACCTTTAAAATACGTTTCATCTAATCATTATCAAAGAATTATTTCTTGTGAGAAAGAAAAACAGGAAGTTGTAGTCACTGGGTATAGGCTAATACTGCTGAATAATTATCATCAACAGTGAAAAAATCGGGACAGGTATAAAACCCGGTGCCTCTCCAATTTTTCTCACTAAAACTGAAGAAAAACACGGCGCCCCTACTGACTTCTTTATTTCTTAACCAGTTTTAATAATTTTTGTATCACATTAAAGATTACTAAATAAGCTTTCTAGAGATGTCTTTATAATTATAATGAATTGAGTAGAAATGTTATTTCAGTCCTTTCAAATTTTAGGATTTTTATGCCTCCACAAAGTGGGGAGCATAGCGTTGCACTTGTCCGTCCGTACGTCTGTCCGTCCGTACGTCTGTCCGTACGTCCCGAAATCTTGTGAACGCAACTTCTCTTAAACCGGATGGCAGATTTTACTTAAACTTCCAGGGATGAACAACCTTAATGTGTAGATGGTAGTAAAACCCTTGATGCGACCAAATTTACCAGAATTATGGCCCTTTGTTGATTTTTCACTATATACCATATATTTGTTGTCAGTGGGGGCATCCGTGTCCTTTGGACACAGTTCTAGTTTCAAAACAAAAACGCACTATAAAATCCGGAGAGAAAAATAAGGCGCTCTTTATTTATTAATTCTCATTTACTTTATATAGAATGAAAGTTAAGATAACAAACTTCAAGAATATACAAAAAATGAAGTTATTTAATCGGTCATCACTGTTTTTCTGATTCTTTAATATTAAAATTCTAATCAGTATAGTAATTTTCATTGTATAACTTTTTATCGGCCAGGATTAAAATAGAAGTTTGAACAAATTTAATTGAATTTTAAGCTAAAAATCATATCTTGCTGTAGATAGCGAATTCCAGTCAACCCGGCCCAAAGTTAATCCTGCCCCCCCCCCCCCCCCCAAAAAAATAAAATTGGTTGATCTGGCACCACATTCTTTCTTGTTGTCAATTGCGGCCCCAAAGTCGTCAATAAGGCATTTAAAATGTAGATTAAACAGAGTTGTAAAGATACAATTTCATTCGCACGCTCCCTTAAAATTTATGTGGATTTTATTTTGTAGGAGTTTCTCAACACCGTTTGTAGTAATATTTATAGAGGACACAGAATCATAAGGACTATTACCCAGACCGGGATACACAGAACTTATTTCATTTGTAAACACAGAAAATTGTTTATTTAAATGTCTGCTTTTTCTGAAATTTTAAAACCCCATTTTCCCTCAAGGGTACACAACAAGAATCATTTAAAATAACCCCTTATTAAAACGTTTGGTTGCCCCATGTTTATGATCTTAATTACGCCACAAACTGTGTTGTTCATATAAACCCAGTAAGCATTTTGTGTTTTCTTCTCGATGAGTGTTTAAATCTTTTTAAATTTATGAAGTACAGTGTAATTTTTTTTCATTTCACTATAGAATAAAGAAAAGCAGAATCCCTAAAGAAAGTACAACACAACAAAATTGAAAATGTTGCAGGCTCGGTTTGATTGAGCCTGTTCATGGACGCTTCTGGAAAGTGCAAGTTACCGTCCACGCCCCCTAGCACCGGCTTAAGCAGAATTCAACATTTAACACAAAAATGGTGAAATTTTGGATTAAGAAACATCCGCAGATGTGTTCATACGGCGATTATCATGGAACCTTCAATGAGACACAGTAGTGCCATTCCATGAAAAGCGGCATATGGTCCCCAAATAAAAGAATGTGTGTGCCCTAAACGAGAAAACAATGGGCGGAACTAAATAAAATGGAATTTTGAAAGGGGGTCTGAGGTTATGAGGCCTGCATATCACAGATAAGACGTCAAAAGACAAATTTAAAATGGCAACATATCCTAAGGGTGATTATACAGTATTCAAGTAGGAATACTGGAACCACCAAAGTTGAAATGGCCGAAAAGAAGAAACTAAAATTACCACATAACATGTATACACAACAATATATATTGTCGTGCTGAACGATCTTCAAGGGTCGAAAATATAACATCATTGATTAAATGTACGTGGAGACTTTTTACTGCCGCCACACGGTACAAATAACACGGACGTGACAATAAAATAGAGAAATTCAGAATCTCTAAAGAAAGTACAACTAAGTAACCCTAGAGTCTAAATTACGTTTTTCATTAGCTTTTTGATGTTGTTTGCCAGAAACAATTTTGTTTAATATTTTATATTTCTCCACACGATTTTAAATACATGTTTTAAAAACCTCCAAAAGTTTCTGAACATTCATATTGTCTATATTATTCAAATTTAAAAATTCAGCTAATCCTGCCTTTATATTCGCCCAGTCTGCCTTATTAAATAAGAGGAACTTACGTATTTTCTGATTGATTCTGGCAGATGACCAAGTATCTACAAAAAGTATTAAGCCTGAACCACGGATTTATATAAATCCGTGCCTGAATGAATGCATTTATTCAAATCTAATGAACAAATAGTTTAAAATCAGTCACTTAACAAAGAAATATTAAGTGTGAAAAAACCCCTAAATATTGTAGTTTGGTCCCTTTCATTTCCCTCACCATTTGTACTCGTGACTCGTGAGTATATAAATTCGAAAATACATCTTCCTAAATGCATACATAAATAATGCTTGAATAAGTGTCTATACAGTATGGACTAGAGAAAGCGAGAAAGAAGCAATACAATTTTACTTTTAAACTAATAATTTTGAAAATATTGTATGTCGACTTGCACCTTTGATAGCTACAGTAGTGCTAATTTAGAGATAATAAAAGGTGGGGGGAAAATCCCGGGATCGCCTATAGAAAAGCCGGGATCCGGGATCGTATTAAACATATAGTAATCCCGGGAATTGACCACCCGTCATCGATAAATTATCGATTATTTCATGCCTTTTGTGAAAGATATGCTTGTGATATGCTTGTTCACAATTTTTATGATGTTTTTTTTTATCGTTGATGGCTATGATATATATTTGTATTTGAATGATTTTCGTTGAGACTCGCATGTACTGTAATACTTTATACATGTGTCTTGGTTGGTTATTTCATATGTTTGATAATGGAAACATTTAATTAACAGCCGTACTAAAAAACTACAATTTGTACGAAAATAAAGTTTAGATTATTATTATAATTGTTGTTTAATTATTATTATAATTATTATTATTATTATTATTATTATTTTATTATTATTTGAATGTGATTGTAGAGCTTTTGAATAAGTTTAATTTGTAGTAGGCCTAGTTATGAAAAAATCTTTTAGCGTATTTTTTCACAGATGAGAGCCTTAATTGACCTCAGAATGTCACACACCCATAATCTTATTTAATATTGTAAGTACATGTACATGTACTGGCAGTGGAAGTCATTGTATATTGGTTTCGAGATATTGACACAAATGACACGTGCACTTTTATAATAAATATTATGAGAGATGAGAGACACCTGTCTTGTGAACCAAAGCGTGTTTGCTACGTAAAGTAAGATTAAGCCGGGTTTTTTTAAATTTGATTCAAATACATTTTTTTTATTCGTCGCGGAAAAAGATGACCTTTTATATAAATATTTTGATTTTCCTACTTAGATATAAATCTTTTAATTTTTAGTGATTTCCGCTTGTCAAACAGAATCAGACTTGTAATGTTCAAAGCATTTTACTCCTTTCAATAAATTAGTATCTTATACCTTCAAAAAATCACAACAAACGAATTATCATTTTCTCTATTAAATCATTACGATATTTGTACAATATTTTTAGAACATCTTTGATCTACCATATCACATTTAGAAAAGACGGGATTGCATTAGATATATAGAGATCCCGGGATTTGACCACTGCCGTGTCATATTCAGAAAAGCCGGGATCGTATTTAACAAAGAGAGATACCGGGAATTGACCGTCTGCCATATCACATTTAGAAAAGCCGGGATCGTATTAGATATATAGAGATCCCGGGATTTGACCACTGCCATGTCACAGTCAGAAAAGCCGGGATCGTATTTAACAAAGAGAGATACCGGGAATTGACAGTCTGCCAAATTACATTTAGAGAAGCCGGGATCGTATTAGATATATAGAGATCCCGGGATTTGACCACTGCCATGTCACAGTCAGAAAAGCCGGGATCGTATTTAACAAAGAGAGATACCGGGAATTGACCGTCTGCCAAATTACATTTAGAGAAGCCGGGATCGTATTAGATATATAGAGATCCCGGGATTTGACCACTGCCATGTCACAGTCAGAAAAGCCGGGATCGTATTAGATATATAGAGATCCGTGCTGGATCACATATATAAAAGCCGGGATCGTTTTAGACAAGCAGTGTCTATCATCACCTTCACCATCGTCGTCATCACTAATAAATCAAGTTATTATAATATAGGGGAAATTATTATTGAGTGGCATGCGGCATAGTTTGAATATATATAATAATGTGTATATAACGAAGGTCAATACAAGTTGGCAATCAATTAATTCTATGATAATATACATGTATCTAAATCATATATCAGTAAGGTAGAAGTAGCTAGTTCATTTTGAACAAACACAAAACAGAACAGAACTTTTATTTCGGATTTATACATAGTACATCATCACATACATAATAATATTCAAGTAACATGTACTTTCAGTGCAATCAATGTAAAGAAATCATGATATAAATAATATAAAGAAATCAATAATTGTAATGAAACTTATGTTGATTGTTATTAAGCCTCAGTTGAGGATGAACATATTTAAGGAAGAAAATCAATATCAAAACTTAAAAATAAAAAATTTTGATCTATCATTGAACATTATTTAATAGTGAAGTTCTAACAGTCATAACATTTTTGTAATAAAATGCTAATTAACATAGTTCCTTTCTATTATCACTTTGCACAAATGCAATAAATATGTACATACTTGGGTTAACAAAATAATATCTTTTAATATAAAGGTTACGAACATTTGTATAACATGGGCATATAAGATCAAAATGAAATTCGTCTTCTAAGTCTCTTAAAGCAGCACGCCTCCAGATTCATGCTAATTTTCATAAAAAAATTGAAAATGTTTTTGAATGTTTTATATTGTGAAATAACCAAAAGGAAGCCATTTATATATTATCAATGGCACTTACAAGCCATGTAAATTACCAAAGTGGTCAAAATATGCATAAATAGACCTTACTGCGTTAGTAACGCAGCAGAAATATAGTTGTACATTTAAAAAAATCAGTCATTAACTGCACATAACATGTAAAATATTACTTGAATCTTGAACCATTTTACGTTTCCTAAAGTCGTAGTACATATTTCTCAAGTTTGATTTTATCGAAATATTTTGACTCATCTGGAGGCATGCAGCTTTAAAGAACAACATTGGCAGTAGCGTTCATTTCTATTGTATTGTATGTATTCTGTTTCTAGCATATCTGCCAGTTTGTATTCTTAGGTTGTGTGCAGAAGTTCGTAATCTAGTTACAAATCGTCTCAAATGTTCAGGCAATATATCTAAATATCTTTCGTTTCAAAACTTCACATATACAGACATGTAAATAAACACATGTTTCAGTATGATAATTCATTTTAAAGTTGCATGCCTCCTGATAAACCAAAATATTTCAAGGAAACCAAACTCGCGAAAAATGTACCAAGATTTTAAGAAAAGTAAAAAAAATATAGAAGTTTCAGGTAATGATTTACATGATATACGCGATTTATGCCTGATTTTGTCGTATTTATAACGTTAATATACGTACCTGTTATAACCATACATATTGATTTTATTTCATTATGCTGTATAGAATTCTTACATAGAACCAGGGATGTATAATATATATAAACGTTCCTGAAAAATCGAAAACCATGTGGCAATAACTTTTTTCAAGTATTAGGATTCATAATAGACGAAAATAAGATTATTGTTGATATTACAAATCTATTTTTATAAAATAATAAAAAAAGTTTTATATATGATTATGACACAAATTAACAAGGAAGAACACATACCGTGGTAATAGTAAAACATAAAAGTATTATACAAGTAAAATAACTTTGCCTAGTACATACAGTTTCACAATTTTAATTAAAAATGCACGTGGTTAATCTGTGCTTCGTAATTAATTTCTAAATATATATTATATAAGTATAATTGACTCCAAGAGATTTTGCAAATGTGATTAAGAGTAATATGTAAATTAATATAATCTTTTCTGTCACAGAAATTATTTCATTAATACAAAGATTTGTATCTGTAAGCGACGCTGGGCCAATCAACAGGGTGCATATGTTGTAATTACAATTAAGCGACACAGGGCCATGATATCATTAATCAACAGGGTGCATAACATTACATCAGATAACATCACTTGTGCCAGTTATTTAATTATGATCCGACTTTAGCTAAATGATCATCCTAGGGGCTTTATGACATTGGCCATGTCTCACTGATTTGATCCCAAAGAATGATTTCCAACTGGTATTAATAAACACAGTTGTTACAGAAATAAGTATTTTTCAATTATTAACGAAATTTCTGTGTACGTTTGTCATCTTGTTTATAAATACGTTAATTGAAGGAAAATATTTTCTTTACATTATCTAATAAGCAGAATATGAAAAATATAAAAAAATTAAGTTGAAAATATCACAACATAATTCATTGTACCTTTCATAAAATCTTTAATGCAACACCTATTAAATCGAATTAAGGTGTTGAATTTTTTAATTGCTTCATCATTATATTTTTCATTTACCATGATCTTGCACATATAAATTTTCATCAAGTTATGTAACGTGAATTACTATTTTCAATGTTATACGAACCGCAGCCAGAAAAGCCGGTATCCTATTAAAACACATAGGGATCCCGGGAATTGACCAGTCCAATGATATATTTTTCAGATAAGCCGGGATCGTATTAAACATATAGGGATCCCGGGAATTGACCAGGCCAAGAAGATATTTTTCAGATAAGCCGGGATCGTATTAAAACACATAGGGATCCCGGGTATTGACCAGTTCAAGAATATAGAGTTTTCAGAAAAACCGGAATCGTATTAGACGTACAGATAAAGAGTAAATTATCATTCGATTATCATAAATCAGCATTTTTATATACAAAATGTAATATTTTACACGCCTTTTACGTAAAATAAGCATGCCAATTAAGTCGAACTTGTGTTTACAATAGTGTATAAATCCTCAACCATAATGGTCACGAAAAATAGTTGATTTTCCTTATTAGACTTAAGAGATCCCGGGTAATCGCATTAAGAAAAGCCGGGATCGTATAAGATATATATATCCCGGGAAATTGACCATTACCATCTTGCTTTCAGAAAAGCCGAAATCTATTAAACACTACAGAGATCCCGGGAATTGACCACCTGTCATACACGTCAAAAGTGTTTTTTTTTTGTTATCAATTATGTTAAGTATATCTTCTGATCTTTTCTAAAAATAATATTTAAATACATGAACATAAAATTAAGCCAAATAGTGTATTAACAAAAACTTTGATTTTTCCAATTATACTATAATTACAATTAAGTTTTGTGATTTCCGCATTTTAAGTTTGTTAATAAATAACTCGAAATATATTTAAATCTTAAGTTAAATTCATTTACTGTTCATTACATACAATTAAGGAAATAAATAGTTAACGTTTAATCGCCTCTCATTACGACAATAATCAACACAAATGTAGTTTATGAGTTTTCCCTATATATCTAATACGATCCCGAAGTCTAAATTGTTACCGGTTTACACTGTACCCAAGAGGTAGAACGATCGGAATGAATTAACCAGATGATAGCGTGAGAATATATGAATTATGGTAGATAAAGTTAATGAAAATCTAAGGCAATTGTTTTTACATTTTTTTATTATACTATTTGTGTAATACACTTATTTTCTTTGACAATAGTTTTAACTGTTGAAGGGATGAAAACGGTCCATTCGGCCTTAAATAGACTCGGTCCGATTCATCTCGGGGGTAGTCAGATTATTTTCTCCATTACCAGTTCTTCACCTGACGTTTCCTCCTTAGTACTGTACTCTCCATATTTTGGTGGAGAACAGTCTGCATATGTGCAGTATATACAGACAATTCCTCCCCATTTGTATTGTTATCTGGTTTAGGTTTGGGAGAGAACCGTCAGGGAGAGGAACTGGTAAGGGAGAGAATAGTCTGTCATTCATGAATAGGTAGTCAGACTATTCTCTCCCTTACCAGTTCCTACCCTGACGTTTCCTCCCTGACGGTTCTCTCCCTATTTTGGGGGAGAACTGTCTGCATATTTGCAAATAAGCAGACAGTTCCTCCCCATTTTCATTTTTTTTTTAATACAGAATTATTAAAGTATTTAGATGTTAAATAAATGGGTAAGTTTATTATTAATTGATATTAATTAGAGACACAAAATATTTTGGTTGAAGTATAAAATTTAGATGTTTGATAAATGGGTAAGTCAATTGATATAAATTAGAAAAAAAATAGCGGATGAGTAATTTTTTCTGATTTTTTTATTTTATTAGATCTAATGTATAGTTTTAAATATGTTTAGTCATTTGAAAATAATTAATGAATAATTTACTTGATTAGGATAATCATTATATAATATAAATTATTATGTTGTTTTGTGTTGTTCAATTATTTTTTTATATAAATAAGAATCAAATTTATAAGAAAAAAAAAATATAAATGCATTGTAATTGCTAAATTTCATACTTTTGTCAAATGAAGAAAGGAGTTCAATACACTGTCACATGTGTGTTAAGTTTGCTGTCAGAGATAATTATATATATTAAGTGTTTGTTAATTCATTACTCAAGAATCAAGGTGTTGATTAGATTAAAATAGCTGTGAAAAGGTGTTGATGAATAATATTTACCAGTCCAATGTATATCAATCACTGTCAAATAATCTTAATCTCTCACAATGAAGGTGTTAATAGGATTAAAACATCTCGAAAAGGTGTTTAAAATTTATAGGCACTTTTCAGCTGATCAACATAATATAAAACATAAACATGTATCAAACACATTCTTCTTCTCCAAATCCCTCCAGAGGCGTGCACTTCTCTGGAGGGTGGCGCTAACAACTTAAACAAGAGCCGTTTTATGTCAACCGCCTGTTTGCAGCCGTCACGGAACTTGATGCTTCTCCGGTATTGTCTTTCCTCCATCGAACGAAGTACAGGACTTAGGAAAATGGGCATGAAAAAGACGTCCTTGATGAGACTTCTAGAGTGGACCGGCATGGACGCTGAGATCTCGGACATATGGAATTTCCGGCGCCGAGCTAAAATAAACCTAATACAACAACAACAAACAAAACACATTCTTTTAATAATCTTCATTAAGAAATATTATTAGCTAAAGTAAAAACTAAAATGATCTAATAAAAATAAATTGGGGGAGAACTGTCTGCATATTTCAAATTTGGGAGAGAACCGTCAGGGGAGGAAACGGTTTGGGAGAGAACCGTCAGGGAGAGGAACTGGTAAGGGAGAGAATAGTCTGTCATTCTTATGAATACATCATAAATGATGCATTTAGGCCTGTTTTTAATCAACTGAGCATGCTGTTTAAAACACAGGGACCCAGCACAGTGTTGGCATAGTGTAAAAAAAGTAATTCTAAAAAAATATATATACTGTATATATAATATATAGACTATATATTATATATAAAGTATAATTTTTTTTTCTAGAATTACTTTTTTTACACCATCCCAACACTGTGCCAAGTCCCTTTGGTTTAAAAGCAATGTTTACAAAAAATGGCGACATTGACATCTATACTGCGGTCAGTCTATTTACCCAAAGATGGGTTTCCTAGCAGTCTGATCAGAACTTGTACTTTTTATAAAATAAAATAAAAATTTGTCAACAGACAAATACAAAACTTAGAAAGAACAAAGTTAGGTACCAGTCTTGCATTACTATGTTTTTAATGTTAGTCTTTTAATTTCATTTTAACTGGAACATTAATATTCCCGAAACGTAACACCTTTTCTCACATTTATTGAAAATTTCATTGCATTTTTTCAGACTATTTTTATTTTTAACAATAAAAAATATTAAGATGATATTATCAAAGAAATAAATCTTAAAGAAATCTTACTTGTTGACTGCAATATAATATATTGTTCAACTATTGATTCACCTAGAATGGTGTCTCAGTTATTGTGCACAGGCGTTCAAACTAGAATTCCCCAGGTGTTGCTTATTTTTAAATGTCGCAAGTTCTCTTACATTACTTTGAAAAATAGGCAAGACTTCAAAACATATAAATCGCTATACTATTTTAGCAGCTGTGTTTCATAGAAACAAACATCTCTCTGATTTGATGAAGTAATATACATGCCTTACTGGAAAATATAGACTACTGGATAAAAATGTTCAAGGGCCGGAAACTGCTAGAAAACCAGTAATCAACAGCAAGTGAGTTCTGGCCATGTTTTTGAATTTGCCAGTGATCATATTAGATGTCACAAATAAAAATTTCATACAACCAGTCATTTAAATCCAGAATAGTCGCTATTATATCCAAGAAATCCTCCCTGGCAATTCGAAGCTGTGGCTTCCATTTATACTGTGATGTGCTACTATTAGATAGTCAATGTCTCTAATTTAACATCATCACTTATTTCATGGTAATGGAACAGTTCCACATGAACACTGTTAATATTGGTGAAAATTTACATTGTAACATTAGTCATAAACTTAAACAACAAAATTTTTATGCAAAATATTTTAACAGTTTTTACACTGTACCAATTCAGAAGGGAACATTCAACAAGACACTTCACCCCCTCAAACTTTGAATACACTTCACCCATGTTATGATATCAAGATAAGCTAACTCTTTACGCGTTTATTTGTACAGTCAATTGGATTACTTCCCTTTACTTGATATTCATTTATGCTTAGTTCTGGCTACCAAAACTTTATAATTCACTTTTTTACATTTTTGTTTTTCACCTGATGTGGCATGTCATGTCATAGTAAATAAATGGGTATGCTGAAGACCTTAAGCTAATTAATGCTATGTTATAATATATGATCATGCTTCTCTGATAGCTGGGTATTCTCACTTGAGCTCCTGTATTAACTTGTCATAATAAATATAATCAACAAAAACAGAAACCTTACACTTTATTTCTTTTAAATATTTTCTAATATGTGATTTAAAGCTACATTAAATAAATTTCATAAAAACAGAAATAGCGACAATTCATTAACAAATTGGGTTGCATAACGACCCCAGATCTTACTTTGGTGTCCAGACAACCAAAATGAGTTTTATAAGCATAAAAAGGGTGCAACGTCATAGTGGCGAAATTGAAAGTACAATTACAGTTTGCATGAGAAACTCCGCCTTCTGGTCATCTGATCAACAAACATGACTTTAAGTAGCAGTCCTAATTTAACGGTACTTTTCCGCATTGTAACGGATGATTTCATACAAATTTAATCTTTTTTATGAGATGATTTCTTTTTTCTGAACCCCAGGCCTAGTGCACCGTGAAGCTAAAACGGTTAATGTTTGTTTGCACAAGAAAATCTCATATTTGTTGTGTTCCAGATAGCAGTTATGACACTGTGACATAGCGCATACACTAGCTGATTATAGTCTTCATTTGCATGTTAAAATTGGTTTACAAACTTTAGTGTTACGGTGGAGTTTCCCATTTAAAATCCCAATTATGAATAGTATTTGATGAGATTTACAACATTATTGTTAAAAAGGTTAAGGAAACTCACAGTAGAATGCTTGGTTTTTATGCAGACGGCAAAATAATTTTACATATTTATTTAATGTACATGTATCTTTAAATCAAAACATGTCACGATGTATTGTGAGTATTCATGTATTATAGATACACTATACATTTTTTTTGTTTTTAGCTCGACTATTCGATAAGAATAAGTAGAGCTATTGTAGTCACCCGAGCGTCGGCGTCAGTGTCAGCGTCGGCGTAACCACTTATGTTAAAGTTTTTGTAATAGTTCAAATATTTTCAAAGTCCATTGACATATGGCTTTGAAACTTTGCAAACTTGTTCACCATCATGACCCCAACCTGTAGACAGGAGGAGGTAACTCTATCAAGCATTTTGACAGAATTATGCCCCTTTTTCGACTTAGAATTTACGTTAAAGTTTTTGTAATAGTTCAAATATTTTCAAAGTCCATTGACATATGGCTTTGAAACTTTGCACACTTGTTCACCATCATGATCCCAACCTGTAGACTGGAGGAGGTAACTATATCAAGCATTTTGACAGAATTATGCCCCTTTTTCGACTTAGAATTTACGTTAAAGTTTTTGTAATAGTTCAAATATTTTCAAAGTCCATTGACATATGGCTTTGAAATTTTGCACACTTGTTCACCATCATGACCCCAACCTGTAAACAGGAGGAGGTAACTGTATCAAGCATTTTTTTTACTATCAAGCACTAAGAATAGTCGAGCTTTGCTGTCCTACCGACAGCTCTTGTTACCGCGTATTGTCAGTAGAATGCAGCTAAGCGTAAAATTTTAGTTTTTGCATGTGAAGCCTGTGCATGCTGAATGTCAGATAGACAGTGATGTAAGGCACTATACAGGTGTTCAGCACAGGGGGCCCACACAGTGTTTGGATGGTATATACTGCTTGATAGTGACCTAAAAATGAGATTTTAGTCATAACCTTATAATATGTATATAAATATAGACAAGTCTATATTTATATACATATTATAAGGTTATGACTAAAATCTCATTTTTAGGTCACTATCAAGCGGTATATACCATCCAAACACTGTGTGGGCCCCCTGTGGTGTTC